GGTGATAAGTGTCGTGAGTGCTATTTACCTGAATTCCAATTTTGAGAAGTGAGCAAAGAGGGAATTTTCGAGTTATGGACAGTTGACAATCCTAATAAACTGATGTAAATGGAGGATCCTCAACGGCAGAGATAGACGAGGAGTGGAATACCCAGTCACCACAGTCTTGGCTCATCTCCTTCGGTAAACCTGGGACAGAAGCAACGAAACACAGGGGAACTATCAACAGGAGTTTCGCGGCCATCTTCCAAGGGGTGCCAAAATACGCTGAAAAATAAGCAGCAGGTGAGAAATCAGTTGCCATTGATACAACCGAATGAAATGTCCTTTTTGATATAAGTGTCCTTTTTACTCAGAAGTTCTAACGAGAATTTTAGCACCATAGCCCTCTGAGCACTCAACAACCTGGTTAACTAACGAGCCGCTGGACAAAATTCGCATGTAGCAGTCTGGTGAAAAAAAATAGTTTCTGTTGCGTGTTGAGAGGCAGTTCAGTGAACCGGAAGGCAAAGTTGCCCGACTGCAATATCTTCATTGAGAGGTGACAATCGTGTGAGTCGCTGCGGCGCAGTTTTGCCAAATCAACTCGCCACTCGTGAGGCGCACAGGCGAACGCCTCTTCTAACTCCGGCGCCAGGGAGGTAGATGGCCGAGAGGTCAGCCCAACCAAGTCCACCACATGTGAGGAAAGCTCAGCAGGTCACGTTTCTCATGTCGGGCAACAATCCTCGATAGGGAAACCGTTAATTTTCATGTGTGCAATAGCATGGTGACTATATCCTTTAACTACTGCAACTCCCTGTATATGTATTATCCATTGCTCCTATTGTCTCGGATGATGAATCCGCGACAGAATCCGCAACACCAGGCGCATAAAGTTCTTGTCCCAGCATTGATATCTGCTTCTTCTCAGTTTGTCTAATTTCTGGACCCGAAAGTGCACATCTCGACCCCCTCCTCTTTGGCACAACAGTTTGAGGGTTCAGGACTGAGCCGGATAGCGGATGAAACCTTATCTGATTGACTTTGCAGTATCTATCATGTCATGATGCACTAATAGATAGTGACTCGTTTCCAATTACTCGGTTCACAAGATCGTTGTCCAACCTTGCCTGAGATCCAGGACCGCTTGGTTGTGTCATCCGAGGAGAGCCCGCCCACTTCGCTGCCGGCGCCATTGAAGTGTGTTCTGCTGGCCACCACGTGTGAGCGTGTGTGGGTTAGTCGGTAACCAGGCCAGTTGGCAGGAGTCATCCATGCGTATTTCCCATCGTCCCGCATGTCCGGATCTGAAACGGACATGCGAGGGGATAATTAGGCAACTCGCTGAAGAGGCTATGAAAACACTAACACGAGAATTGTTTAGCGCAAGTCCGGTCGAGTCGTATACGTCAGTCGATGTAAAAGGTTGTCATTTAAGGCTGTCATGGTAACCCCTTATCGCTGCAATTGCCCGCTGGTCACCCAACGTTCTGGAGAATACCGTGAACGGTGAGGGCTTACTGATGTGGATGGTGAGCGGAAAAAAGGGGATTTCAGGCTGTACTAAAGATCGTCTGGTCAGCAAGCTATACCATTTTTAAGAACCCGGCTTCCAGAATAAATCACAAGCCTCATGTCATGTCTGACAGGAAACATGTTTAACGTTACTCTAGAAAGTGCACCTCTCATCTCCAACATAAGTCGAGAATATAAAGCTTTTCGTTCTCCTACTCTGCCGTTAGCTGACCTTCGCACACTAAGGTTTTCTGACTCCATATAATTAAAATTTACTCTATGATTGGGGACTATCCATGCTGTTCGATCGAGTTGGACATATCTCCCACAGTTATTCTTCAAAACTACCTTTAAATGCTTCGATGTCCTCCCTGGAGAGTTTGAGCTAGCTTCGGTTTTTAGTCGGAAATTTTTTGCAACCTTACTTTTTTCATTTTCTTTTATT